TTCTTCTGTGGTGTTTCCCACTTAGAGAAGTTCCTTTAGCATTTGTTGTAGAGCTGGTTTGGTGGTGCTGAAGTCTCTTAGCTTTTGCTTGTCTGTAAAGCTTTTGATTTCTCCATCGAATCTGAATGAGATCCTTGCTGGGTAGAGTAATCTTGGTTGTAGGTTCTTCCCTTTCATCACTTTAAGTATATCATGCCACCCCCTTCTGGCTTGTAGAGTTTCTGCTGAGAAATCAGCTGTTAACCTTATGGCAGTTCCCTTGTATGTTATTTGTCATTTTTCCCTTGCTGCTTTCAATAATTTTTCTTTGTCTTTAACTTTTGCCAATTTGATTACTGTGTCTTGGCGTGTATCTCCTTGGGTTTATCCTGTATGGGACTCTGCGCTTCCTGGACTTGAGTGGCTCTTTCCTTTCCCATGTTAGGGAAGTTTTCAACTATAATCTCTTCAAATATTTTCTCAGGTCCTTTCTCTCTGTCTTCTCTTTCTGGGACCCCTATAAGCCGAATGTTGTTCCATTTAACGTTGTCCCAGAGGTCTCTTAGGCTGTCTTCATTTCTTTTCATTCTTTTTTCCTTATTCTGTTCTGCAGCAGTGAATTCCACCATGCTGTCTTCCAGGTCACTTATCCGTTCTTCTGCCTCAGTTATTCTGCTATTGATTCCTTCTAGTGTAGTTTACATTTCAGTTATTCTATTGTTCATCTCTGTTTGTTTGTTCTTTAAGTGTTCTAGGTCTTTGTTAAGCATTTCTTACATCTTCTCAGTCTTTGCTTCCATTATTTTTCCGAGGTCCTGGATCATCTTCACTGTCATTATTCTGAAATCTTTTTCTGGAAGGTTGCCTATCTCCACTGCATTTAGTTGTTTTTCTCGGGTTTTATCTTGTTCCTTCATCTGGTACATAGCCCCCTGCCTTTTCATCTTGTCTATCTTTCTGTGAATGTGTTTTTTGTTCCACAGGCTGCAGGATTGTAGTTCTTCTTACTTCTGCTTGACAGCTCACTCCTTTTAAAGAAAGAAGTTGAAATGTAAAGGTAAATAAGTAAATAAAACTGAAAGTAGGTAAAATATAAATTTTATATAAATTTAAATTTATAAATATGTATATATTTATATAATTTATATAAATTAGATAAATAAATATATATACATTTTATATATAAATTTGTTATATCATTCTTTTTATTGAAAGCTTAAGCAATCATTATGTCTTTTAAATGACTGGATTTTAGGCATTATTGGGCATGTATTAATGCTCTACATCCTCTGCCTTATGGTTCCCATGCAGTCAAGCAGAAACCCCTACTCAAAGCTTCCAGCTATTGCTTCAGTGCTTTTGTATTTTCCAGTTTGCCTCCCTGAGATAATGTCCCATGACCCTTCATTCCATTAAAAAATATTTGCTTAGAATCATGATCTTAAGAGATTAATGACTTTTAAACTAAAATTATTTCAGGCAAAGGCATCATAAGTAAACTTTTGACCAATATATATAGGCCCACAGGTCCTCAACAAAATACTAGCAAACCAAATCCAGTAACATCATAAAGATTATACACCACCAGCAAATGGGATTTATTCCTGGAATGCAATTTGGTTTACCGTTCAAAATTCAGCTAATGTAATATGTTAAATCAATAGAATGAAGGAGACAAACTATGTGGTCATCTTAATAGAGGAAAAACAAAAGCATTTGGGAAATCCAGTACCCTTTCAAGATAAAAACACCCAACAAATTAGAAATAGACAGGAGCTCCCTCAGCCTAATAATATTAGGGCATCTGCCAAAAACCCATAAATAAGATCATATTTAATGGTCAAAGACTGAATGCATCCCCTCCTGAGATCAGGAACAAGACAAGGGTGTCCACTCTTGCCATGTCTGCTTAACATTGTGCTGGAGATTCTAACTGGGATGACTGAGTAAGAAAAATAAGTAAAAGGCATCTATATCAGAAAGAAGGATGTAAAGCTATTTCTTGAAAATGACGTGATCTTGAATATAGAAAATCCTCTGTAAGCTAGAATAAAACTATTAGATCTAAAAAACCAAGTTTTAGGGTGCAAGATTAAAATATAAAAATCAACTGTATTTCTACACATTTGCAGTGAACAATCCAAACATGTTATTAGGAAAACAGTGCATTTGCAGTAGCCTCAAAAATAATAAAATATTTAGGAATAAAATTAACAATATAAGTATAAAACTTGCACTCTGAAGACTATAGAGCACTATTGAAAGAAACTAAAGAAGCCCTAAAGAAATGGAAAGACATCCTGTTCATGTGTTAGAAGTTTTAATATTGTGAAGGTGACAATACTCCCCACATTTATCTACAAATTCAGTGCAATCTCAATTAATATTCAGCTGCCTTTGTTGCAGAAATTGGCAAGCTGATCTTAAAATCTTTATGGAAATGCAAGGGACTCAGAATAGCCAAAACAACCTTGAAAAGGAACAAAGTTGGAGAACTCACAATTTCCAGTTTCAAAACTTACTACAAAGCTACACTGATCAAGACAGCATGGTACTGGCATAATGATAGACATATAAATCAACAAAAGTGAGATTCCAAAAAATAAACCATTACATTTATAGTCAATTGACTTTTGACAACAGTGACAAGACAATTCAATGGGGAAAGAATAGGCTTTTCAACAAGTGGTATTGGAATAACTGGATATGCACATGCAAAAGAATCAGTTTGAATCCCTTCCTTACCCCATACATAAAAATTAATCCAAAATAGGTCATAAACCTAAATGTGAGAACTAAAACTATATAAACTCTTAGAAGAAAACATAGGAGTAAACCTTCATGACCTTGGGTTAGGCGAAGCCTTTTTATAAAGGATAAATGGCACAAATGGCAAAAGAAAAAATAGAAAAATAGGATTTCATTAAAATTAAAATCTTGTGCTTCAAAATACACCATCAACAAAGTGAAAAGACAACCCATAGAATGGGAGAAAATAATTGCAAATCATATATCTGGTAAGGAACTTGTATCCAGAATATTTTTTTTAATTCTTACAATTCAACAACAGAAAGGCAAACAATTCAATTAAAAGATGGGCAAAGGACTCAAATAGAGATTTCTCCAAAGAAGATACACAAATGGCCAAGAAGCACATGAAAAGTTGCTCATTGTCATTAGTCATTAAGGAAATGTAAAGCAAAACCATGAGTTAAACTTCAACCTGGGTGACTATAATCAGTAAAATGGAAAATAACAAGTGTTGATGAGAAAGTGGAGAAATTGGAACCCTCTTACTTTGCTTGTAGTAATATAAAATGGTACAGCCTCTTTGGAAACAGGTTGGCAGTTCCTCAAAATGTTAAACATAGATTACCATATGACCCACCAATTCCATTTCCAGGTATATGCCTAAGTGAGATGAAAACATACATCCATGCAGAAATTTGCACACAAATACTTGTAGTAGCATTATTCATAATAGCCCCAAAGTAGAAACAATCTAAATGTCTATTAATTAAGTAGATTTAAAATGTGGTATATCCATTCAGTGGAATATTATTTGGCAAAAAATAAAGTATTGCTCCAACATGGGTGAATCTTGAAAACATTAAGTGAAAGAAGCCAGTCACAGCAGACTACATATTATATGATTCCATTTATTAGAAATGTCCATAGTACTCAAATCCATAGAGACTGAAAGCAGATTAACAGTTGCCTGGACTAGGAAATTTGTGGGGTAATGGATACAGAGTTTCTTTGGGGGATGATGAAAAAATTTTTTAATTGTGGTGATGGTTGTAAAATTCATTGAGTTATGCACTTTAATGTGTGAATTATATGTCACGTGAATTATATCTCAGTGAAGCTGTTTACAGAAATGCCAGTAGTAAGATGGGCAAAGAATACAAACAAGGCAATCACAGAAGAAATACAAATGGCCGATAAGCATATGGAAGATGCTCATTCATTGTTACTAATAATTAGAAGGACTATAAATTAAAGCAATTCATTTACTTCTTGTTGTTCCTCAGATTGTCAAAGAATAAAGACATTATCTGTGGTTAAGTGTCTTATAGAAATATTGTACCTTTTGCTAAGAATATAGCTCTAGAATTAGAATTATCCTACTGAAAGGATCTCTAGAAATCACTTAATCCATTTCCTTTATTGGCCCAGAAAGAGTAAGGGATTCATTCAATTTATAAGTTAATTAATGGCATGGATAGGTCTATACTCCAAGGCTTCCTGACTTTTCTACTAGAGTCATGCTTTTCTACTAAATTGGGCACAGTTAAAAGCTGGAGTTTCCATGTGCCAGAACTCTGGAGGGAATGATCAGGACTCCTAGGAATCTTTCTTTCTGTAATGGTGCCAAACTAAGATTGTTCAGATGTTCATTTTACTTCTGATTGTTTAATAGCCTACATTAGCTAGTCTTGTGTTTGTTAAATTTTGCTCTCTGTCTCCTGGTTTCTTTCTTTCTTTTTTTTTTTCTTTTTTGGATGCTTTCCTGTTTTGTTCAGATTTCCCGTGTAGCCTATAAATTGAGTCTCTCCTACACAGTGCATCCGAATATCCTGTCATTGATCAAACAAACCTTCTCCTATTCTGTTCTTACCAATTTTCTATTATATTCTTTATTTCTTAGGACCATGCTTATTAGACAGTCATCCTAGACCTGTTTAAAGATCTCTGTTATAGATAGTACTGTTGGTTTTTAATGTGTTTTCTCCAGAGTAACATTTGTTTACTGCCTCAATCCTCTTTCTGTGTAGTGTACTATACCATAAGTCTACCATACTTATTTCCTTATGACTCCTTACCTGCTAAAAGTTATATTTTTATGTACCAGTCTTTCTCACAATACTGAGCTATTTTGGCTAGGCAAGTACTATATTTTACTTATCTTTATATATCAAAAGCTTCATTGATGTGCAATAAATATTTGTTAGATAGATACTTGAGATATTGAACTTTTTGTGTTGTCTGATTAACATTTTACCTTTTTTTTTTTTCAGAGTTTGGAGTTGTCTGCTTTCTATTTTCTGCAACTCTAGCTTATTTCCCACCGCGACCTCCTCTTCCTCCCAGTGTTGCTGCAGCTAGCCAGCGGCTGAGTTATCGGCGGAGCTTTTGTAGATTATTAAGGTAAATATACTTAAAATCACTTACTGGTTTTTACTAGCACCTTGAAGATAACTCCACATTTATCTAAGATAATTTAAGACAGTAGTTTTTCAACAACCTACTAATCAGGTTGTAAATAATTGATAAAATATTGGTTAAATATTTTAGAGAGATTTCTTATCAGAAATCTATCTTTAAAAATTGCCCAGGACAGGAATAAAGATGCAGATGTAGAGAATGGACTTGAGGACACGGGGAGGGGGAAGGATAAGCTAGGATGAAGTGAGAGAGTGGCACTAACATATATACACTACCAAATGTAAAATAGATAGCTAGCGGGAAGCAGCTGCATAGCACAGGGAGATCAGCTCGGTGCTTTGTGTCCCTGTAGAGGGGTGGGATAGGGAGGGTGGGAGGGAGATGCAAGAAGGAGGAGATACGGGGATATATGTATATGTATAGCTGATTCACTTTGTTATACAGCAGAAACTAACACAGCATTGTAAAGCAATTATACTCCAATAAAGATGTTTAAAAATTAAATAAAATAGAAACAAAAAAAATAAAATAAAATAATTAAAATTGCCCAAAGCAAAAACCTCTATAGTTTTTGCCTTCTCTATATACCACACATATTTAAAAAATCAAACCTTTGGTTTAAATAAGTTTCTTTTATAAGGAAACATAATAGTATCTGTGAAATCATGTGTTTTATGTGTTTATTATATTTTTCCTAATATGCAAATTATTTTATTCATTATGTATTTCTTGATACACATTAAAATAAACAAGTGCTATTTAATACAAAGCGAATAAAATAAATAATGTTTATTTACATATCACCTAAAATCATCTTGAATCTCCAGTGGGATCATATTTTGAGAAACTTAATTTCTAATTTTACTTTATTTTATTGGTACAACTTAAATGTAATTCGATTAAATTCTACGCTTGAAGGCTTCAAATACTTGAAGGCCCAGTACTGAATTTGATTCTTTGGATATATAGACCATTTCTGATGATTATGATTTGTAATTGGGCCACTAGAACTTATGTTTTGGGGTTTTTTTTCCAGTTAGTTGTGATGAGTTTTTACTGATTCATCAACAACTCTCCCTAGTTAGTTCTTTCTTTTCTAGTCTTCCTCTCCCACCAGATGGTAAGTTCCTTGTGGTCAAGAACTATCTTTGTATCCTATATATTAATAATGTCCGATAGGAATATAGTGGGAGCCACATGTGTAATTTTAAATCTTCTAGTAACCTTATTTAAAAAAAGTAGAAAGAAACAGGTAAAATTAATTTTAATAGCATATTTTATTTAACTCAGTATATCGCAAGTATTATTTCAACATGTAATCACTATTCAGAATTATTAATGAGATACTTTACGTTCTTTTATTCATAGAAAATCTTTGAAATCCAGTGTGTATTTTATACTTACAGCACATCTCAATTTAGATGCTAAATTTGCATTAGAAATACTTGGTCTGCATTTAGATTTCATTAAATTTACAATTAAAACAGTTTTCATTGAGCAGTGTCTCCCATATTGCACTATTTATCTAAAGTTAAAAATAACTACCTGCAGTTTTTCAAATTTTGAATCAATACATCTTTGATATTATTTGAAAGGTCTTATAGCCTACAGGCAATTGTTTGGGGCTTAATTGAAGATCTTTCACTTCCGTAAAATACATTTTTTTCTCTTCATAATTTTAAACAAAACTTCCATAGCTAAAAGAACAATTTATTTTACCATCTCTCCATCTAAAAATCTTTTTCTTCTTGTGCAGGAATCCAAACCATTTTATAGCTGACCAAAAGTATAAGCTCAGATCTGTTAAAAATTGTTTAAAAATGTTTGTTGAACATTTAATTTAGATTTCAGACAACTAAACTTCTTGATTTTTTTTGACTTTAAGAAGAAACTTCTTATAAAATTTATTGTGTAATTGCTGAACATGTCCCTTAATATTATCCACTTAATTATCCTAAAAATATTTTTCCATAACAGACATCAATTTTACTCTGCTGCAATAAGTTGCATCTACCATTCATTGTGAAATTTACGACATACTTCATCTCGTATTTTTCTTCCTGCATAAAATATTCATAAGCAAATTACAATGTTATATCAGTGTGTAAAACATAATTAGAACTGAGTTAGTTCATTGACACCAAGAAGATCAGTGACAGGTTATAATACTAGAAACAACATATGCTACCACGTGCACACTACAGTAATATCTTACCCAATGCAGCAGTTAAAGTGAAATGTACTTCTGCCAAAAAAATAAAGTTGTGTTTAATGGAAAAATACTTTTCACTGTTTCTGTTTTTAAATTGGATTTTATTTAATTAAAATGAAGTAAAATTAAAAATTAGTTCTTTACTTGCACTAGTCACATTTCAAGTGCTCAGTAGCCACATTTAACTAGTGGCTACCATGTTAGACAGCATAGCTATGTAACATTGTTTTTCAAACTTTGATTCATAACCAACCAATTTAGAGGGTTGACCACCTTTTTTTGTTTAAAAAAAGTAGAATGGAATAAAAAAGAATAGAAAATGTTATTGCATCTCCTATAGTAATGATACATATTTTTGTTATACTTTTGTTTCAGTATTTATGTACTGAATATTGGAGTACAGTAAAAAGTTTTTGAAAACAACATCTCTGTAGCAGCTAGTAAATTGCCTTCCACATAATAGGCAAAAAAATCATATTAGTTCTATTGAATTGTGATCAGGAGAACATATTTGTAAGATGAGAGTTAAAATGATACCTTTTTTTTTCTAAGATGCTATTTAACTAAATTTTTCTCCATGCAGAGCTAGAGGTTAGAGAGCAATAGGTAAGGCTAGAGAGGTAGGTTAGGGTCAGATTATGCCATACTAATAATTCTGGACTATTCTGTGGGAAATGAGGAGTAACTGTAGAGTTTTAAGGTAAGGAGTTATGTAAAAGATTGTTCTGACAAGGAAAAAACAACTTAAAATTATCACTTTGACCACAATATACCCTGTGTTTGCTTCTAATTACCCTAGAGTCAAGATCTTTATTCTCTGTTCAAACTATAGAGTATAAGATCTTTCTTCTCTATTAAAAACCCTTTACACTAATGCCTAACATTCCTTTGTCTCTTCCCACATTCATTCGTTTACTGTGCAGGATTGCCTGCTTCTACTTTGAGCTTTCCAGGGGACTTCTTTGGGCCTGCCACGCTCCATTCCCCTAACCTACCTGTGTAATTTTCCCTGGTCCTTCAAAGAACTCCTGATATCATTACTTCCTGGATTAATCAGAATAACTGCTTCTCTAGATTCTAATTCCATTGTCTGGGCAGAAAAAAAAGAAATCAGTGGTTATGCTCCAAAGGTTCCACCACAATTATTTATTTACTGTCCATATGATTCCCATCACTTAATATGCGTTTAACCTGTGTAACCTAATGTAAACATTTTCCTCCCTTTATGTATCAGTTTAATATTTGATGATGGTGGTTGTCGTTTTTGCCTTTTAGACTTCAAGAGTGGAGAGTTGAGTTGAACGTGTTTATCACTTCAGGGTATATGAACAGGATACATGAACACGTTTATTCATTTATTTATTCATTCATTCTTTTATTTATATTTCTCACTCCCATTCCCTTCTCCCTACCTAGGATACCTCTCAAACACATTTGATGTGTATCTCTTTGTGCTTTGCGACATTTGTATTGTTTTGTATGCCTCTCTGTTTAATTTATCTAAATGATGGCACATTATGTATCTCATTCTGTTTTGACTTTTTTTCACTAAACACTATGTGGTTTTTTAAATTACTTTTCATTTTGGAAATACAAAGGTAGAGTAGTATAACATCTGTATCCCCATAACCCAATATCAACAATTACCAATTTATGACCAATATTGTTTCATTTGTACTGTACCCACTTCTCCCCTTCCTGTATTATGAAGCAAATCCCAAATGACAAATCATTTCACCCATAAACATTTCAATTTGTATATGTTAAAAAGATAAGGACTCTTTTTAACATAAATATGGTACCATTGTCACACTAAAAACGTTTTAGCAGTAGTTTGCTACTGTCAAATCAGTGTTTCAATTTCCAACTGTCTCATAAATGTCATAAGTTTGGGGGTTTTTTTTAACAATATGTTTGAATCAGGATCTAGATTAGGTCCATGCATTGCAGTTGGCTCAAATGCCTTAAAATTTGTAGGTTTCCTTTCCATCTCTCTCTTTATTTGTTGAGGAACCAGCTCTCTTGTCTCCAAGATCTGGATTTTGTTGATCGCCTCTTTGTAGTACTTTGCCAGGTTCCTCTGCCCTTTGTATTTCCTATAAATTGTTAGCTAGAGCTATGTTCTGATTCAGGTTTTGGTTTTGGTTTTGATTTTACAAGACTACTTCATGGGTGATGCTACCTTCTTCCATCAGGAGCCACATGATATCTGGATAGCTCTCATTTTGTGATATTAGTGCTCTGTTTTCAAGATGTATCCCTGTGCTATGTGTACACCTAGTTCTTTGTACTCCATGGTATGAAACCATTGCGTTTTGTATACCTACTTCCATTGTGTACTCAGATTGCCTCCAACTCATTGTCACCACAGATAACACTGCAGTGACATCCTGCACATCACCATAGACCTAAGAATTCTTTGGAAAACAGACGCCACAAGATTGCTGGGTCATAAGCTATTTTAAGCTTAATTTGCCAAGTATTGCCAAATTGCTCTAAAAAAAATGCCTGCACTTGTCTATACTTCCATCCACAGTGCCCATTTCCCTATATGCTTACCAAACTTGGCATTATCCATCTTTCTAATTTTCACTAGTCTAATGGGCATAAAGAAATATATCTTTTGTTTAATTTGCATTTTCTGGTTATTGATAAATTTGAGACTCATGTGGTTGTTTGCCATTTAGGTTTCCATCTACTGTAAATTCCTCTTCTGCCAATTTCTCAGTGGTAGTTTCTTTTTCTTAATAATTTACATATTCTAGATATAAGTTCGCTGTTGATTTTTAAAAGTCAAATTTCTATTTGCTATCTGTCTACTAATTTTGTCAATGAATTCCTTATTTATCAACTTTCTGGTTTTTTCTTTCACATTTAGGTTTTCATCCCACCTAGAATCCACCTTAGTGTATGGTGTTAACTAATGATACAGGGTTTTCATTTTTCCCTCCATAAAGTGAACTAGTACCATTCACTAAACAATCCTTAGCCCTTTGATTTTTGTAGTGCCGCCTTTATTGTAGATTGAGTTTCTGTGTCTTAGCTCTCTTTTTTCCTTCATTGCTCTCTTTGTTCTTGAGCCAATACCATACTAATTTTATTACTCTGGATGTGCAGTTTGTCTTAATATCTGTCAGGACAAGGGCTTCCTTTTTTGTATTTTTAAAGGATGAGTTAGTTTTCTGAGGACTTTAATTTTCCCATATGAACTTTGGAGCAAATTTCATAAGTTTCTAAAAAAAATTCAACTGGAATTTTAATTGTGATTGAGTTGAATCATGAATTAGTTTGGGGTGAATTGACAGCATAGACTCTGTCTCCATTTATTTAAATCATCTTCTGTGCCCTTATGTGCTTCACCCCCTCCCACCCATAGAGGTCTTGGGTCTTCCTCGTTTATGCCTAGATACTTTATAGTTCACATTTTTAAAAAAATTGTTAATGGTATCTAATTTTTATTACATTTTTAAATTAAACTTTATTTTGAGATAATTATAGATTCACATGCAGTTGTAAAGAATAATACGAAGAAATAACATGGACCCTTTACCCAGTTTCCTCTAATGATACCATCTTAGAAAACTACAGTGCAATATCACAACCAGAAAATTGACATTGATATAGTAAAGATATGGAACATTTCCATCATCACACGGCTCCCTCCTGTTGCCCTTTTATAGCCACACCTACTTCCCTCCCACTCTACTCCTTAACCCCTGGCAACCACTAATCTCTTTCCCGTTACTATAATGTCACTTCAAGAACGTTATATAAGTTGAGTCATACAGTAAAGAAAATTTTGGAGTTAGCTTTTTTTCACCCACAATAATTCTCTGGAGAGTCATCCAAGTTGTTTTGTGTACTGGTAGTTATTCCTTTTTACTGCTCAGTAGTATTCCATGGTATGGATGTACACAGTTTGTTTAACCATTCACCTTTAATCTTTTTTTCCCTCTACCTTGTTCACCAGAAGAAACAGTAATTTATCCTTTCAAATAGGAACTTTTTAAAAAAAAACTGAATCTACCTACTCATTCTAGGAAATAATGTTAGTAATTCATCTGTATAATAAACATTGAAATTTTTAAACAATATGAACAAAAAGATTATTCTTATAAATATAAAAAATTTAAGGAATTTATTAACTGACAAATATTTTCTATTTCTGATTCTGGTGTTCCAATTTCAAAATGACTTACTTTTCTATGAGTAAGAGTTTAAACTCTAGATTTTGAATTTGTAATAATGTTTTCTTTTACTCCTCTTTTACAGCAATTTGAGATTTTTGATGATTGCTTTAGCATATGCCATACCACTTGGTGTATTTGCTGGCTGGTCTGGAGTTCTGGATTTAATTTTAACACCAGTGCATGTCAGCCAAGTAAGCATTTTATTTCTTTATATCTTGTAGGTATTTTTAGTTCACTAAAATTATAAATATTGTCTACTTGTTCTTACTTTTAGCTTCAAGGCCTAGGTAAAACGTTATCCTGTGTCACTGCTGCAAAAGGAAGATCCTTATGAAATAGTTATAAATAATATTGATTTTCTTCCTGGATTTTGTTAACCACCATGGATTTCACATTTATTTGGGTATGATTACTTATGCTAATAAACAGAAAAATAAAGAAGGAAAATCTTAGAATCCTTGATTTTTGGTTTATAAAGATGAAGATCTCGTCATTAAATATATGGCTATGCCTACATCTAATCCCTCACTTTCTCTTTAGCCTCAGTATCTCATTTCCTTAAAAATAACCATTTTAGGGCTTCCCTGGTGGCGCCGTGGTTGAGAGTCCGCCTGCTGATGCAGGGGACACAGGTTCGTGCCCCAGTCCAGAAAGATCCCACATGCCACGGAGCGTCTGGGCCCGTGAGCCATGGCCGCTGAACCTGCGTGTCCGGAGCCTGTGCTCCACAACGGGAGAGGCCACAGCAGTGAGAGGCCCGCGTACCGCAAAAAACAAACAAACAAAAAAAACCATTTTATCTATATGCTTATGACATCCATTCCTTCTCCTTGCTTCCAAATAGCATGGTAGAAAGGGGTAGAGAGATTTGGAAGGTCAAATGGAAGAAATCCAGCACACTGATGTGATATTCCATTGTATGAATAAACAGCAATTTGTCCAATCTGCTTTTAATGAACATTTGGAATGTCTGCATTTGGGCTGTCATAAACAGTGCTGTATGGATATTCTCATATATGTTTCTTGATGCACCTCTCTATACATTTCTGTTGAATATTTATCTAGGAATGGAATTGCTAGTTATAGGGTATGCCTGCTTTGATAGATGATGCCAAATTTCCCCAAAGTAGTTGTATTAGTTTATAGTCCTACCAGCAGTACATGAAATTTCTCCTTGTTGCACATCGTTACCAGCACTTGGCAATGTTAATCTTTTTAAATTTAGACGTGCTGATAACTGTGCAGTTGTATGCCATTGTAGTGACTTCCATGACATCTTTTTAAGTGACATCCTTTTTTGTGACATACCTGTTCAAGTTTCTTGCCCACTACTGGGCAACCTTTTTCTTACTGATTATAAAGAAGAGAGCTGTGTGAAAGGGCGCTCCCCAGCAAGTTCTGGCTGCGGAATGGACTGCACATGTAAAGGGCAAAGCTACCAGAGACTTATTAGAGAGACTGTTGTGGGGTGGAAAGCAGAACACATATAGTAGAGGGCAGGCAGTGCAGGACCCTTGGAGTTCTGGCCCAGCCAGAGTGGTATGACCTCATTAACACCTTGTTAATATCTTAGGCTTCTGCTGAGACACCAGAAAGGACAAACTTTAGAATCAAGGACCATACCCTAGGTAGAGTAAGGCCTATTCTATTTAGACCCACCATGAACAAAGCCTAAAACTAAGCCCTGACAAAAATTTGCAGAGGGGATAATTTGGAGATTGAGTCCTGCCAGGTGAAAGGAGCTTGGGAAACAACTTGGTTTCTAATATTCTTCCCTAATAAAGCACAAAATCAAGCTTACACAAGTTCAAGGTAATTGAATGGCCTACTACACAAAAATGAACTATTTTATAGAAATATAAAATTATCCAGAATCTCGATATTGTATCACCCACAACATATAGTATACAGTTTTTAAAAAATTAGACATACAAAGAAACAGGAAAATATGGTTCATATTTTTAAAAGAAAAAATTAGTCAATAGAAACCAATTTAGAGATAGTTTAGATATTGGATTTAGCAGACAGAGACTATAATGCAAAAGAGAGAGTGAGAGAAATCTTTTCTTGCTCCATGTTCATAAATATATTCCCCTCTGTTATGTTGCAGAACTCTGTTATCCAGTACAGTAGCCACTAGTCACATGTGGCTATTTAATTTGAAGTTTAAATTAGTTGAAAGGAAATTAAATAGTCACTTCCTCATTGGTACTGGCCACTTTTCAGGTGCTCAGTAGCCACTTGCAACTTATGGGTACCATATCGGACAGTGTTGACATAGAACATTTCCATCATCACAGGAAGTTGTATTGAACAGTGCTGTTCTAGAAACTTTATTGTTATTCCTGTCACATTTAAACCTAGAATTGAATTTTGTGCTTGTTGTAAGGGTTAAATTTCTTTTTTCCCACATAGTTCTCCATTAACCTAATACCAATTTTTGAAAAGATTGTTCTTTCCCCATTGCTCTCTAGTGTCATAATGAAGTGCCCTTATGTGCATGGATGTTTCTAAATTCTTTTTCTCATCTAGTTTATTTGTCTATCTCTGTGCCAATACCAAATTGTCTTAAGTATTCTAGTGTTAGAATAAGTTTTGGTGTTTAGTAGAATAAATACTCCCCTTATTGGGATGTAGATTAGAATTTTATGAACCTATAGATCAGTTCAAGAATTAACTTTTTTTGTAATAGTTCGTCTTCCAAATCATTACTATTATATCTCTCTTCATTTACTTAGGTCTTAACGTCTCTCTAAATCACTTTTCTGCAAAAACACCCTCTATTTATTTGTTAGATTTATTCCCAGGTATTTGATGCTTTCTGAAGCTATTGTAATTGGTAACTTTAAAAATCTTATTTTCTGTTGGTTGGAATGTAGGAAGTATACTTGGTTTTTGAGTGATTGAACTACAGCTTGTCTTATATCCAGCAACCTTATTAAACTCACTTACTTATTTATCCATAGATACTTTGGCCTCTCTGCATACATCTCATATCGGTTGTAACTAATGACAAATGGATGGAGAAAAATACATTTAATAAAATTCAACATTGAGATGATCATATGTTTTTCTCTTTTAAACTGCTAATTTGGTGAATTACATTTGTTGATTATAAAATGTTAAACTACCTTGCATTCCTGTACTAAATGCATTTTGTCGGTGATTTATTATACTTTTTATATATCACTGAATTCAGTTTTTTGCAGTTAGGTTCATGAATGAGATTAGTCTATCATTTTTTTAATCTTGTCCTGCCATTTCAATTTTTTAAAAATCTTTATTGGAGTATAATTGCTTCACAATACTGTTGTTAGTTTCTGTTGTACAACAAAGTGAATCAGCCATATACATACATATATCCCCATATCCCCTCCCTTTTGAGTCTCCCTCCCACCCTCCCTATCCCACCTCTCTAGGTCATTGCAAAGCACGGAGCTGATCTCCCTGTGCCATGCTGCTCCTTCCCACTAGCTATCTGTTTTACATCCGGTAGTGTATATATGTTGATGCTACTCTCACTTCGCCCCAGCTTCCCCCTCCCCCTCCGCCTCTCCCTCCCCATGTCCTCAAGTCCATTCTGTATGTCTACATCTTTATTCCTGCCCTGCCACTACGTTCATCAGTACCTTTTTTTTTTTAGATTTCCATATATATGTGTTAGCATACGGTATTTGTTTTTCTGTTTCTGACTTAATTCACTCTGTATGACAGACTATAGGTCCATCCATCTCACTACAGATAACTCAGTTTTGTTTCTTTTTATGGCTGAGTAATTTTCCATTGTATATATGTGCCACATCTTCTTTATTCATTCATCTGTCAGTGGACATTTAGGTTGCTTCCATGTCCTGGCTATTGTCAATAGTGCTGCAATGAACATTGTGGTACATGACTCTTTTTGAATTATGGTTTTCTCTGGATAGATGCCCAGTAGTGGGATTGCTGAGTCATATGGTAGTTCTACTTTTAGTTTTTTAAGGAACCTCCATACTGTTCTCCATAGTGGCTATATCAGTTTACATTCCCGCAGACAGTGCAGGAGGTTTCCCTTTTCACTACACCTTTCCAGCATTTATTGTTTCTAGATTTTTTGATAATGGCCATTCTGACCGGTGTGAGGTGATACCTCATTGTAGTTTTGATTTTCATTTCTCTAATAATTAGTGATGTTGAGCATCTTTACTGCCATTTCAATTTTAGTGTCAAGGTTTTGCTACTCTCAGAAAGCAACTTCTAAAGTGTTTCCTCTTTTTCTATTATTGGAAGAGTTTGTGTAAGTTTAGTGGTTTAGGGCTTTTGTTTTTCCCTAAATATTTGGTAGAATTCACTGATGAAGCCATCTAGTTTTCTTTGTGATATGAATTCAATTTCTTTAATAGTTATAAAATTATTCATATTTTCTACTTATTATTGTGTCAGTTTAAGAAATTATACCTTTTTAGAATTTGTCCACTCCATCTCAGTTTTCAAATTTATGGTAATAAGTTCTTCATTGTATGATTTTATTAGGTCTCCAAGGTAAGTCATTGTATCATTCCAGATATTGATTTTCTGTATCTTCTTTCTCATATTTTTCCTTGAATAATTTCAACAGTAGCTCTTTAATGAAAGCTTATTTTTTATTTCATCAATTTTTGATTTTATCTTAATTTTTTTCTATTCTGTTTTCTTGAGTGAAGTCACTTTGCTTTCATTTTTCTAACTTTTTAATATGAATGCTTACATCCTTGCTTTTTAGCTTTTCTTCCCTAATACATGCATTTTAAGGCTATTTATGTCCTTTTAAACACAGATTTAGCTGCATTCCATACATTCTGGATTTTCATTATTATTGAATTTAAGATATTTTCTAGTTTCCAGAGTTATTTAGAAGGACATTTCTTAATCTACAAACTGTGGAAGATCCTCTAGTTCTTTTTTTTTTAATTCCTAGCTAAATTGCATAAATGTGGTCATAAGGATATACTGTGATTTCAGTATTTTCAAATTTGTTGACCCAATTTTTGGTGAACTATTTTCTATAATTCTTGAGTGTAGTGTTTTATATATGTCAACTAGATCAATTCTGTTAATTGTGTGTTTCATATCTTCTATTCCTTATTCATTTTTGTCAGGTTGTTCTATCAGTTACTGAGAGAGATGTGTTAAGATCCTACACAATTATCTTAAATTTGTCTATTTCTCCCTT